TGAATGGATTTTGACAGGCATCACTATGACATGGAGATGGTGCCTGCTGGGAGAACAGCCTGGACTTTGTGACACATGGATGCATGTCACCAGGCAGAGACACAATCCAAAGCCACAGTTATTGCAGCTTGTGTTCTCATTGGCCATATTTAAACTATGAGTATGCACTTTAATTCACAAGACATATTGCCTATGTTGAGAATTATACACTCCTGTAGCATACTGTGTAGTATACAGTTATAATAGAAGTATATGTGCATTTAATTCATTAATTAATAAAATCTCAATTCATTATGTAAAATGGTATATTTAAAATATTTTCAGATAAAAAAAAAATAAAAAAAAAAAATAAAAAAAAATGTATTATTGTTATTGTTATTATTACATTTTTGTGTGAAATGCATTCTACATTATCGTATTTTATTTATTTATTGGGTTTATTTTTTATTTAAAAATGCATTCTAATCCAAAAATCACAGGTGATATTGATTCTGGCACAAATGGAAAAAGAAAATCAAAATATGCTTTGAATGGGGTGCAATTTTCCAAGCAATATTCTGAAAAATCGCCATCCACTAAAACGGCGTACTGCACAAATGTGCTATTCTGAACGTAGCCATCTTTGTGTTCTCAAGCCAGATGTCTAGAAAAAAAAGCTTAATGGCCTGCTAATACAATTAGAGTGTTGCGTTTATAATTTTGTTCAGTGTAGTAGAGTAAATCGCCTCTGAACCCTTTAAAGTGCAGCTTCTGTTGAACTAGAATCCAAATATAAAGTCTTGGCTCTAAAAATAAAGCCAAACTCGGATCAGATCTGAGTCTTGCTTCTGTAAAAGCGATCGTGTGCTGAAAACGAGAGCAGCAAGCGTTAACTCTAATGTGTTGTGAATGTCACACACACTGCATTAGAAAATGCAATTCGGTTGAATGGATTTTGACAGGCATCACTATGACATGGAGATGGTGCCTGCTGGGAGAACAGCCTGGACTTTGTGACACATGGATGCATGTCACCAGGCAGAGACACAATCCAAAGCCACAGTTATTGCAGCTTGTGTTCTCATTGGCCATATTTAAACTATGAGTATGCACTTTAATTCACAAGACATATTGCCTATGTTGAGAATTATACACTCCTGTAGCATACTGTGTAGTATACAGTTATAATAGAAGTATATGTGCATTTAATTCATTAATTAATAAAATCTCAATTCATTATGTAAAATGGTATATTTAAAATATTTTCAGATTAAAAAATTGTAAAAAAAAAAAGTAAAAAAAAATGTATTATTGTTATTGTTATTATTACATTTTTGTGTGAAATGCATTCTACATTATCGTATTTTATTTATTTATTGGGTTTATTTTTTATTTAAAAATGCATTCTAATCCAAAAATCACAGGTGATATTGATTCTGGCACAAATGGAAAAAGAAAATCAAAATATGCTTTGAATGGGGTGCAATTTTCCAAGCAATATTCTGAAAAATCGCCATCCACTAAAACGGCGTACTGCACAAATGTGCTATTCTGAACGTAGCCATCTTTGTGTTCTCAAGCCAGATGTCTAGAAAAAAAAGCTTAATGGCCTGCTAATACAATTAGAAAACAGGCTATATTTATATTCATGTCTAACCATAAAGCTGTCCCAGTTTTTAATAATATGCAATTCTGCATAAATAGCTTTAGGGGACGCTGCTCAGTTTACTGCGTCTTTATAGATCCAGAAATGCCCTTGGAATTTTGATAAGATCCACGTCTCTGTCTGTATTATGTCGTTAAGAAAGCTTTGCTATCTTTTCTTCGCAGGATTTTAAGCTATTTTTACCTTTAGAGAATGTGCTTGTTCTCATGCACTGTAAAAAATGATATGATGAAAAAGCCATGACAACTTATGTTTTTAAGTTACTTTAACTCATACAAATAATTTAAGCAATTTCAACTTTTTTTTATAAGTTATACTAGATTCAACTTGATTTTTTAAGTCAGTTTAATGTTACTGAAATTCAAAGAGCCCAATTTAGTTCAGTGAACTTAACATTTTAAGCATGTCTGATGATATCGTCTCATATAGACAGCCCTATCCACATGTGAACTCAGCAAATGCATAGCATGAGGTACTTATGAAAGCTTTTATCTAGTTTTATGGCATTAAAAGCACATCAGTTTCAAATGGCACATAATGCATGTGTGTTTAATCAGCTGGCATATGTAAAATACTGCTCATCACTCAGAGCAAAAGAGAGGCAGACAGATGGAAAGGCAAATGAAGAGGTCAGTGTTGGTTGATTTGACTGTGCTGAGGCCTTTTGTGAAGTTAGTTGTGTTGTTACTTTTCTAAAGCTTAGTATATAACAAAATATGAACATATAGCTGCATTACACGGAAAAATGAATCATGTCAAGTGCTGTTGAGGGTTTATGTTTGGATTATTGGTTTGCCTGTCATGGCTCATTGAATAGCAGCATTGGGTTAACTTATTTGACACTGGGTCAAAGGTCATCGGTTACTGAGGATGAAGTTTGTTAACCTCTGTCTGCAAGGAAAACATCAAAAGACTTCATGATGACAGCAGAGGAAGCTGTATTTACAGAGTGAAGTTCACATCTTAGAGTCAAAACAACATCAAAATGAACAATGTCTAATGCAGATTCTTGGTATAATTAATTATCAATGTACATTACTACAAAGAAATGCATACATTTTATGTGGGAGAAATGTTATGTTTCATTTTTTTTTTTTATGGTTTTTCCAAACATGAACTGTATGGAACTGTTCATTTTATTCAGACTTTAATGTGTAAACTATTAAAAATAGAGTTTATTAAAAATGTGTATTTATAAAATAAAACATAAATGTGTTTTGTAGGACGATAAATGGTTGGGATTCCACTAGCTAAGCTAAAAGCCAGCAGACATTTCTCAAAATGAATTTCTTCCTCAATTTAGCCATTAAATCGGCCTCGGGCTTTAAATGTGATTTACAATCCTGGCAATTTATGAAAAGTGCACCTCAGCATAATGATACAACGGAGACACCGCGTCTAGAATGAGCAATCACGTTTGAGGAACATCACCTTGGTATTTAACTGCTTAAATGTGTTTGAATTGAACACAAGAAGGCTTTGGATGTCTTACATAACACAATATCAAAGATGCATGGAGCCTTTGGACTAGGCCTGTCTCCAGCCTGGTTTTGATTTGATTATGTTCTGTAATTATATTAAAATGATTTGATAGTAATATGGCTTCATAAATATGTCACGAGGACAGTTTAATTTGATAAGCACTGCAAGTATGGCCTGTGGGTGACAAAATATGAACATAGCTGCATTACACGGAAAAATGAATCATGTCAAGTGCTGTTGAGGGTTTATGTTTGGATTACTGGTTTGCCTGTCATGGCTCATTGAATAGTAAAGCTCATTGAATAGCAGCATTGGGTTAACTTATTTGACACTGAGTCAAAGGTCATCGGTTACTGAGGATGAAGTTTGTTAACCTCTGCAAGGAAAACATCAAAAGACTTCATGATGACAGCAGAGGAAGCTATTTACAGAGTGAAGTTCACATCTTAGAGTCAAAACAACATCAAAATGAACAATGTCTAATGCAGATTCTTGGTATAATTAATTATCAATGTACATTACTACAAAGAAATGCATACATTTTATGTGGGAGAAATGTTATGTTTCATTTTTTTTTTTTATGGTTTTTCCAAACATGAACTGTATGGAACTGTTCATTTTATTCAGACTTTAATGTGTAAACTATTAAAAATAGAGTTTATTAAAAATGTGTATTTATAAAATAAAACATAAATGTGTTTTGTAGGACGATAAATGGTTGGGATTCCACTAGCTAAGCTAAAAGCCAGCAGACATTTCTCAAAATGAATTTCTTCCTCAATTTAGCCATTAAATCGGCCTCGGGCTTTAAATGTGATTTACAATCCTGGCAATTTATGAAAAGTGCACCTCAGCATAATGATACAACGGAGACACCGCGTCTAGAATGAGCAATCACGTTTGAGGAACATCACCTTGGTATTTAACTGCTTAAATGTGTTTGAATTGAACACAAGAAGGCTTTGGATGTCTTACATAACACAATATCAAAGATGCATGGAGCCTTTGGACTAGGCCTGTCTCCAGCCTGGTTTTGATTTGATTATGTTCTGTAATTATATTAAAATGATTTGATAGTAATATGGCTTCATAAATATGTCACGAGGACAGTTTAATTTGATAAGCACTGCAAGTATGGCCTGTGGGTATTTCTCAAAATGAATTTCTTCCTCAATTTAGCCATTAAATCGGCCTCAGGGGCTTTAAATGTGATTTACAATCCTGGCAATTCATGAAAAGTGCACCTCAGCATAATGATACAACGGAGACACCGCGTCTAGAATGAGCAATCACGTTTGAGGAACATCACCTTGGTATTTAACTGCTTAAATGTGTTTGAATTGAACACAAGAAGGCTTTGGATGTCTTACATAACACAATATCAAAGATGCATGGAGCCTTTGGACTAGGCCTGTCTCCAGCCTGGTTTTGATTTGATTATGTTCTGTAATTATATTAAAATGATTTGATAGTAATATGGCTTCATAAATATGTCACGAGGACAGTTTAATTTGATAAGCACTGCAAGTATGGCCTGTGGGTGTGTTCTGTTCAGCTCATACTGAATTACGTCTGTCTGGATGTGCAGCACCTATCATTCACATCCAGCACTGCTGCAGTGATCATGTGACTCCGTGGTCCTGATGGTAGATGACCCCTGGGAATTTGTGTGAAAGATGAGAATGTAAACTCCCTGTGGATGCATTCGGGTGGGGTGAGGGGCTATTGCCATCCTGATGACATCATCACAGAGACCCGCTTCTTCAGCTCCCTCTATGTTCCTCTACCCTGCTGTCTATTTTCTATTATGTGCAGTGTTTACTGGGCCGATGGCTGACTGCTATAAAATAAGCTCTTTACTCATTCAGCAGCCATGGCCATGCAGTCTCGGCTTAGGGAAGATAATGGCTTGGTGCAGTGAGCTGAGCTAGTCAGGATGGCTTGTTAATCATTTCTCATTGCATACCTGTAATGGATTCCTTGATCGCTCTTTCACGCTTGATAAATGCTTATGATTTTTTGTCAAATATGCTCATCAATCAACTTTGCCTGCCATCTTTGCACCCACAACATAGATGGATGGATGGATAGATAGATAGATGACAGATAGATAGATGGATGGATGGCTGGATGGATGGACAGATGATAGATAGATAGATGATAGATGGACGGACGGACAGAAGGACAGGTGGATGGATAGATAAAGGACGGATGGACAGACAGACAGGTGAATGAATGGACGGACGGACGGACAGATAGAGAGAGAGAGAGATGGATGTAATCTTGGCTGTTCTCTTGGAAATATATTCTCACCTCATTGGCTTGCTGATGGTCTCTTGGACTCTGCAGGCAGTGCTACATTTCACTCTCCTCTTATCGACTCATCAAAGCAGAAACTCAATAAGTTTCCTCCACACACCACTCTGTGAGAGCAAGCTGCTTCCTTAAGGCTTTGCACACCACAGCCTGCCTGCCGCAAAACCACCGCCTTGTCCCTGCTCGGCACCTATATCTACATCACGTGCGGTGAGTGATCTGCTGCGGGACATTGATACATCAGAGTCATTTTTGGCATCATTCATTTGCAAGCGATGATCCAATAGCTGTTTTAATTACTAAATACAAACAAAAACATTAAAGACAAAGCATAGTGCTTTCTGACAGAAATTCTTACATCCTAAGAATAGTGTTTCTGTACAAGAATTTAAACAAAAAAATTCCAATACGGATCATGTAAAGCTCATGATCCTTGAAAATATGTTTTGGGCACTTAAAGAAACTCAATAAGTTTCCTCCACACACCACTCTGTGAGAGCAAGCTGCTTCCTTAAGGCTTTGCAACCGAATCTAGCCAGGGGAGAGGACGGCACACAGAAGTGGGTCACGTTCAAACAACAGGGAGCTGAAGCAATCACAAAAATGCAATTAGAGTGCCCACAATGAGATTGATTTTATCATTTAACGGCCAACTAATGTGCAGCACGAATCCAAAACGGACAGGCCAATTACTCAGGCGATTGGCGTGATGAACACTTAGGGGAAATTTGACAAATGTATCACGTTTGGGCCTTTGCCATGTATTGGAAGAATCGTGTAGTCTCAGTAACCGAATAAACACATCCAGAGTGGTGTTGTTTATGCCGGTCTTTTTCTGTGATCTGACTGTAGTATGGAGGGCAGAGCCTGGAGGAATCACAGCATGAAATCTGCAGCCTGCAACAGCAGATGAAGTGTAAAATGAGGTGATAAAACTCTGCTCTCCACACTGCCTGTGGTTCAGGCTTTATGGCTCCTTCTATTTCTGCAGGCACGGATCAGAAATTACGACAGGTACAGCCATAACCTTTAAGTGACAGGTGGATCTAAATCATCCTTCGTGGGCAGAGAATGGGATACAGTGAGACACTGTTGCACAGTACACAGTCATAAAGTCTTAAAGGCGCAGTGTATCGTTTCTGTGATAGTAACAACATCAAACTGAATTCCAGATAGATAGATAGATAGATAGACAGTATCTGATGTGTCTTATCTTTTGTCTGTTTGTCTAGCCTCTGGTATCTCCTCATCACCCACCACTCCAACACAACTGACCAAGCAGACTCTAAATTATTACTTATTAAAAAGTTTTAAATTATATTTACACACACATATAATTTATTTCTCTGAAGAGTCACATGATTAGGAGTCGTTAATGTCTTTACACATATTTATTATTTTAAAAAAACTGTCAAAAACTTTGACCAAAAATATTAACATTATATATACTTATTTATATTGAAATATATATATTTAATTATTGAATATATATTCAACATTTCTAAATCTACAAGACACCTTCAGGCACACAATACTGTCACAACTCGCCAGTTCCTGTCAGTGGATCTAATCTGATTCTTACGACTCAACCCACTGACCGTTCATCACATTCACATGCCAAAATCAATACAGCAGTCACCATCTGCAATGCTGTTGTCCTTGCCTCCCACCTGGTAATCTAAGCAGAGGTCCAAGGCTGCACTCAGCAGATGTGTTATCAACTTCATGTGCATTTCCTTCTATCACACTTTGAGTCTCATTCACCTACGGCACGTACAGTATCTGTTCATAAAGTTTTAATGCAAATATAATAATTGATCAATAAGGTCCTATAATCAGCCAAATTTAAATACTCACTGTGCCATAGTGTTTCAGCAGCATAGATAAAAATACAAAATAGCTCAAGTTTTGTGAATTTGTCCCTAAAATTCTGCTACTCAATGCAGTGCAATAATGTCTCTTTATCTTTAACAACCCCTGAAAATCCACTCTCAGCGATTCTCATTTTATGTACCATTGATCCACTGACGTGCTGAGTGTGGGTCTCATATGGGTCAATGCGGATGGACAGAATCACTGCTGCTCAGACACCTTCACTGTTCACTGCTGTCTTTTAAATAAACTTAATGCCTCTCACTCTCTGTCAAGGTCTGACACTTTGAGTTGCTACTTTTTTTCCCACTTTCCCATTACTTGTAATTCCCCAGATTTGTGAACTAACATTTTTCTCGTGGCCGCCCCTTATGTGTTTGTTTACTTCTGTTGTATATTCATGGGGTTTTTCTCACAAGGGCTCAAGTTTGTTCAGACAGCCACACCCACTGATTCATCAGGCAGGAATTTGGGCACAGTTCATTTTAATTACCCTCCATGCCAAATGTTTCTCTGGGAAAGGCCAAAAACAGTTGTGTGAAATATCTTTGGAGCCGGACGACTTCTATAGGTTTTCGCAATTTTTTACAGCTATATATGTATGTTAAATTGATTCCATCCTATCTAGGTCTAAGGAGGGCCATTAAGGGGAGAGAGATGGAAAAAAACACAGGAGGTCAAGAAAGAGTGTCACGGATGGGCACGACACAAACAGCAGCACCGCACTAATAGCTTTATTTGCACAGTCTTTCTGTACATTGCAGATAAAGCTCATTTAAATTTGGACGCACTGATGTGCAAATGTATTTTAGACATGAAAGAGTAAGAACTTGATCTTGGAAAACCACTAAGCACAATCAAGGAGAGAAAAAAACTGCCATCTAATGTCACTGATAAGACATAATAAGAATCTGAACAACTTGGTAACATTTTAAGGTTAATCTTTCATGTACAAACACATCACACATTTTGTCTATGTAAATAATTCATATGAATAAGACTGAAGGTGTCCTTAGAAGGGGGATTCCCTAATATGATTTTAAAAAATTTGGTAGTGAGGAAAAGGAGAGAAACTCTACATATGTATTTTGACGTTAAATGATGTTGAGCCCTTGAATCTTTTGTTGTCTGTTGTGTAATGTGAAGTACTTACAAATTCCCTGCAGGTTTAAACAACTAGCATTTCATTTATGAGTGAATCACTGTTGTTGAACGAATCTTTTATTTCAGTGAATCATTCTTCTGTGCACTGACTCATATTAGCTGTTCACTGATTACAAGTGTGCGACTGACTGATTATATCATGAACAAATAGCTTTTTAGAACCAGTTGTGACGAGGCATTTCATTGGTTGGACGTATTGAACGAATAGCGAATAGGCCCTGAACAAATCAATGTTTTTAGAACTTGTGTGTAAACTGAATCATGTTCTGCAACAAACTACAAACTGTAGAACTTTTCGGCATGGTGTGTTGCCCTAGAGAATGCAACTATGTTTGAGACCACAGCTGTTATGTCGTCTGTAGCTTTAAATACTCAGATTCAGGTCGATTTTGATTGGCTGCCAGTGTTTTAGGGTGTGTTCACACTTGTAGTTCGGTTCGTTTGGTTCATTTGGTCCGGACCAAAAAGGAAAATTATACATTTGGTCCTGGTCCGCTTAGCGTTCAGATTGGCATTTTTGACAGCGAACCTAAAGACACCGAACCTAAAGGCATAGTGATACGTTCACAACCTGATTGGTCGGCTTGAATGACGTATATATCGTGACGGAACTCACCGAACACCCCAAACAAAAGGTACGTAAGACTTAAAGCGGCGCTGCGGGTGTATGATATCAAAGCACTCATTAACTGATCGGTCTGCTCAGTGCGCTTTAAGTCGAACACACCTAATGCCGTCTGCTGGACTAAGCACGCTCATTCTTGCGTGTACATATAATTTTATTTTCACCACCTGCAAACTCACAAGGAGCTCATAAAAGGCACTTTACCTCATCGTTGCTCCACGTTTGCCCTCTGCTCATTTTGTTTTGGTTACACCGCGTCGTCAAATCATGTCGCATAGTGTCGCATCTTGTCATTACTTCCTGTTTTTGGTTCATTTAGAAGTATTTGGTCCGTGTTGCATTCATATATCATTCGAACCGCACCAGAGTTCGTTTGGAAGCGGTCCGATACCTTGTTTGGTGCGCACCAGGGTTTGGATGGCAACGTTCACACATGCTCAAATGAACCGCACTAACAGAGCAATCGCACCAGGGTTCGTTTTGATCGAACCAAACATGCCAAGTGTGAACGCACCCTTAATTGTTTATCAGAAAATAATTGCTCTGAAAGTGATTCCAACTACAATAATCACTCTGAAAATGATTCCAACTATAACACCTCTCTGTGTAGTTATTGTTATAGTTTTGATGTGGACATATTCTCATGGAATTAGAACGATTATAAATACGTTATAAAATAAAGCCAATAATTAATGAGGCAATGATTTTTTATTACACAACACAAGAACCGCTAACTTGTCTTCACCTACTGGTGTAATGACATTAAAGGTGCAATCACACTTACTGCTGTGCAGCAAATTTTCGCTGGCGAAATCTGGTAATTTCAGTATGCGATCAGGAATGTTGCATGCAGGCAAAGGATTTCCCCATGCAGATTTCACAACTGGTTCAAGTGGTGTCACGTGAATTAGCATGTGACTAGTCACATTTATTGCTTGCCAAAATTTCGATGATGAAATCCAGTCATTCCAATAGGAATCCACATGATGTGGGGTTTTGTGTGAGGGGTAAATAAAATCTCGTGTTCAAGTTGGTCACGTGAATTTGCTGTGCTGACAAAGATGCTGGAAAGTGACTTGTGAATTGTGCTTTATAAATTCCTACGCTATGGACCCTTTTCACAAGACTGTGATGACGTGTTTCAACGGTCATCAGTATCTTAAATCCTCGAAAGTTTTTTTATATTTAGATTTTTTAAAAACATTTATGTACATTTATAACATCAAATTAAAAAAAAAAAAAAAACTAGCTAACGCTGAGGGTGTTTCTAATGCAGCATCTATGGGAGGGACGGTAAATTTGATATCGTTCTTTTGCTATTTGAGCAAATAGGAATGCAAAAAATATATTTGGTAGGTTTACTCATTCACTGCTCTCTAAATTTACCCAACTATGACGACTTCCGCTGCTTAGAAACCCGGAAATGTGAAAAAGTTCTATTGACAATAGACAATGGACCTTTTTGCACGCGAAATGTTGCTGTAATTTCGCTAATGTGAACGCACCTTTAACCTGCAGAAAGAGTCACTGAATCAGTGAACAGTTTTTG